TTTAACAATAAAGCTTCTGGTGGCCCCCTCGGTGAAAATGATTATTGTGTCATTAGCACTTGATTATGCACACCAGTCACATAGGCGAGCCTTGACGCGACCGCCAGTCAATGGCACATAAGATATATGCACACTTGCTCTCTCAGTGCATTTTCAAAATTATATTGATGTTTTTTCTCTTGCATCTTTTTCATTTGCATTCGTCGCAGAGACGAGCTCATTGTGCTGCAGCGATAGGATCAAAAAAATGAATTGGCCGTTCGTTGACTGCACGTCTTTAGACTTTTTTTCTTATTGACGGGCATGACCCCAACTTGGAAACGCATGCTGAGTGTGTGAGTCGCATTGTTCGAGAAAACAAAAAGAAAATAATCGTGCAGCGCCTCACGCCAGCGTAATTAAAATTTATATGCAATGTGATTGAGTTCAAACTAGTTTGCAGGCTTTTACGAAAAATCTAAAAATTTCTCAAATTAAAAGAATATCGACAATATTTAAGAGTTTATTGTGGAGGAAGGAAACTGTACGGGTAATAAAAATTGCTCAATGATATGATTGGTTTAATATCCTGAATCAATCACACCAAAACGCAAAAGCCAATTTTATTAATAACAAAAAAAATGAAAATTTTTATGGATTAGTTTGAGCATTTTTTTAAAAAATAATAAAATTTTGAAACACGTGGAATAATAATACTAATTTACACAGGCATCCTTTAAAATTCCTAAAATTCAATCACATTTTTTTTGCATCATTTTGGCGCATGCTGATTTCATTTACTGTTAATTTTTATGAAAATTATTTCATTTTCATGGTAATGATTTTAATTTCTATCAAACTTGGCTCATGCTAATTTCTTGCACGTGGGGTTTTGAGCCTTCAGCGAAAAATGCATTAAGCTTTTGTTCTTTTGTTCCTGGTAATGAGACCAAAATTGAAAAAGCGGGATTTCGTTTTGATCAAGCCACAGGGCAGGCGGCTCATATACCATTAGCCCAAGACAAAACAGTCATGCTGTTGAGGAGACTTGACTGAAAACAGAGCGTGAATAATTGAAGGTTGATTGTCTGCCGCTCGCATTATTTCGCAATCGTTGTTTATGATCGGATTAATTGAAATTCCATTGGGAGGCAAAGTGTAACAAATAGATTCGTTGTTCCTTATTAAATCCACCGTTACCAATATGCATTTCTTTAATAAGAAGTTGTCTCCAATTTGGTAAAAAGCAATTTTCGATTGTTTAGAGCAAAGGCTCATTAATCAAAAACTCGTTAGGTGTGGTGGATGGAAAGAAAAAATTTAAACTAGAGCCGGCGAACAATTAGCCGAGGTCAAGAAACGCCATCAATCTCTCTGGTCTCCTCCTCCTTTTTCCAGGAACGGCTTTTCTGATTTCGCAAAGGAGGAAAAACGAATCAAGAGCAGCAAAGCGTCGGTCCCACGCACGCGGCGTCGTCTTTTGGCCGCGCACGTTTTATGCATAGAAGGAGTCGCTCTTGAAAAGGCATAAGTGTAAATCAGAGCTATGAAATTACGGTTTCGTGTTCTCTCTGCCGGCATTTAAATGACGCGGCCACTTTTCACTGGCAGAGAGCGTGTATTGGGTTGCTCCGGCTCTTTTATTGTGCGCGAAGCTTTTAGTAGAAAAATTCGCTGCAAAGTGGGCATTAAAAGACGCAGCAGTCCCACCCACGCCGAACTGCGACACGGGCAAAAGACGCCAACTCGTTTTTTCGTGCCGGCGACACAAACATGTATGTGTGAGACCGGTCTTTTCGCGAGCGTCGCTTTTATTCAATTAAATGGGCCGTGTGTGACGAATTATTTTTTCGGCACTGAATTGAACGCGCTGTCTGTCAAAGAGATAGAATCACAAGCTGCTTTGTCATATAAATTGGAAATTGCGTTCTGTGTAGTAAATTAATTCGCAAATCGGGTTGCAAGTTACATTTAGGATAAAAAAATACTCTTCCTTGAAATGTTTTGATTTGACCGTTCTCTAGATGGAAATTAATTGGTTCAATTTTTTCTTCACAAATATATATGCGTTTTGAGGACAAAATTTTGTTCTCTCTAAAAATACATTTGATACGAACAGTATTATTCTTTAGAACCCAATTTGATAATTCGCCATGGTAACTGCAAGCAATAGCCTCAGCCGTGCGATTGATTCGAATCGAGAAGCTTCGGCGGTATAGCAACTTTTTTGCACATGAGGGCCGGAGAAGATTGCAGATATATTCAAGGCAATACAATAGTCCTAAACAAGAAAATATTAAATTAAAATTAGTGCACAGCAGTAACGTTGGGTGCATTTGTTCTGAGTATGAAAATTTACCATAATTATTAGCAATTATTAATTGAAACGTAACCATTTTTGTCCAGGGTCAAGATAGGTTAAGATTTTTTTGAGGACTTCTAAAATACAATTTGCAAAAGAAAATGACCAGATCCTTTTAATGAAATAAATTTTTCATCAGCCTGAAAATAAACGAACATTAATTATGTGAAAAATATGACTTTTTTAACCTTCCTTAAAAGAAAAAGTGAAATTGAGCCGAATTTCAAGCTTTTGTCGGTGCATTTCAGTAAAAAAATTCATTATAGTAAATCAATTCATTTGTTGGCAATGTGCAATGTTCAGTGATCGCCAAGTGTTTACGAGATTTGCCTGTCACGGGTACCACTATTTATTTTGTAAGAATAAAAATTTTCATTCTCAAGCGACAATAGATTGTGAATGCAAGCACTGCGGTAAGAAATGTTCACAATATCATATTCTTGAATGTAATGAACGAAAACTAAGCCTAAGAGAGGCTGCAAAAATCAGAATTAACTAATTTTGTACGTTGTAATAATTATAGAAACAAGCTTAATTGTAAAACTAATTTTAGGAAGACAAATTAGCTTTAGACACCCGTTGTACACCTAGTTGTGTTCAATAAATACTCTATCTATAATTCATTTGTTGAAATTTCATTCAATTTGATGCAATGAACGGCTCTCAAAAGTGAATGAATGTGATCTGCCAACTAAATACAGTCACTGTGACACAATAGGGACGCACAGGGCATGTCCAAAAAGGCAGGGAGGCGAGAGAGCGTTGCCTCGACGCGGAGCCCCACATTTTTGTTTGTATTATTCCATGTAATAATGTGTGTATGTGTGTGTCACGACACAGACAGCACTCTCTGCATATTTGCCTCTCTTGAGAAACAGCAGAGCTTCCAGGAAAGTTCCATGCTTGGGAATTTTGCTTCTAATTTGTTTACAACTGAGGCGTGAAAAGATAATTACGCATAAGAACAAAATTGATAGTTTCTCATTATAATTCTCTTTACTGTTCAAAACCATTACTTGAAATAATCTATTTTTTATTTTACAAATTTCCAATTATTTTTGGATTAGTGCAAAATATAGGCATAAATTAAGTCTGCCTGGCAGTTTTGGGGTTCAAATCAGTATTGCAAACAAAAGTGTCGACGAGCGCGGCACCTGTGGTCCGACTAACGGCCGGAGAACAACTGCTAGAAATTATACACGGGTCGGCAGTCTGCATAATTATATTATGCACCTTGCACGTTGGCAACAGGTGACGAAGGGTCAAAAATAGCAAAATAATTCACACAATATAAATGAAGATTGCACATTCAATCATTCATGATAATAAAGAGTTCAAATATTTGTCCATTTTATCAATTCAAATAATTTATTTTAATGTTAAATTTAAAAAATATCTCCAACAGGGCCTTAGTAATAAAAAGTAGTAAATTATAATGACCAGTAACAACTCACGATTTTAACGTTCGTGAAATTTATGCCAAGTCAGAACTCCTTGAATAGATAACCAGTAGATAGCAAGAACAAAAGTCATGGGACCGGAATTTTTTTTAAATTTTTTAAGATAAATATTTACAAAAGCTAGGTCATTGCAAAGGAATTACGATAGCTAATTAAAATGAGGTGTCATAAAAAAGCGCAATTTTTGTTGCAAATTAATGCAAATAAAAATGAAAAGTGGCTCCATTAAATTTTACCTCAATTTTTAAATGCAAAAATCATAAAAACAAAACTCACCTACGAAGAAGCAAATTACTCGACAATCAGAGATTTGTTCCTCTATAAACGAACAAAAACGAGTTTGAAAAATAAATACTAAGTAAACAACTTTAAAATTAATGAACATAATTAGTGTTTTTTTTTTATTTATTTTTAATTCCGACTTCAAATCTTTAAGAACAGGAGCAAGGTTTTTCACCACAAATAATATGAATTTTATGGCTTCAAGTTGTATCAATTTTTAAAAAAGAAAGAGGATGCGAATTTGAGCAGAAAATTAAATTGGATTTGATGAAAAGAGTGTAAAGATTCAAACTGATTTTCTCATTTTGTAAAACTAAATTTTTAATCTTTCAAGATAAATGACAATTAAATAATTGAAATAACTGGTTAATGGAGTCGAATTTTAAGAATGGAGATGAAAGCCTAGCAAAATTTCCCTCTTTGTTTTTACAACAAGATAAGTCTGTTTAAAAAAAATTTTTTAATCTAATTTGGAAATTCAACACAACAACGAAAATTAAAAATCTCATCGTATTTGAAATTTCTGGAGACGGGAAAGTCAGTTTGTCGGGGCGAAAGCAAGGTGCGGCCTGCCCTCACCGATGGAGTCGCTCGATCCACCCCTTCCCCGGCGGTGGTGGTGTGCGTTCGCTCGGGCAATTATTATTACGTGTGTGCGCCAACGAGAGGGGCGCACTAAAATCATGATTAAGCCGCGAAACAGAGATAATATTAATAAAACGTAATCGCACTTGACATTCTGCGACAAATGTCAAAAGTCGCGGGCCAACAGCTGATGGGTTTGCGGAGGAGAGACCGTCGGGCAGCGCACCCTTTAAAAATGGAGACGGTGGCGGGGGGTGCGCCCGCCGAGCAACCCTCGGGGGCCAACCGGACGGACCCGGAGAAAAAAAGAGTAAAGAATTAGGCAAACTTACTCTTCGCTGAAGCCATTGACGTGCAAAATCCTCATCTGCTTGACTATTGTGCTCTTCCCAGATTCACCGGCACCTTGAGGGGGAGACACGGTGAATTAAAATAAATCGATAAATGAGCAATCGCAGCTCGCGCGGAGCCGTGCGAAAACGAAAACAATAAATCAAGGCAGGGGGGCATCGGGACATTATTGACGGACCCTTCTGCGGGGGTTCTCAAGGACAATAGGGGAGCACTGGGGATTTTATTTCATTTATTTTTTTTTCGTAACAAGTTATATACCTAATAACAATAGTCTGTGCGTGGCCCTGTAGACCTGCTTGTCCTTCTGGATCTGCTGGTTTATCTTTTTGTTCGCCTCTTTACGTCTTTTGTTTTCTTCTTGGTCCGCTTTTGAGCTCGCACTTCCAAAACAACCCATGACATCAGGCCAGCTCTCCAGGAATATGGTGGCCGGGCAGCACCGAGGGAAGTCAGCTTGCTGCTGCCTCTCGTTCGCCAAAAGGTTCCCTATTTTGTAGCAGCACGGTGAATGAAATCAAAACGGGGCCACGCCACAAATACACTGAAAACGCGCGACCAGCTCTCACGGCTGCATTCAACACAACACCATCACTGCCGCCGCTGCCTGCGTTGGGTGTACCAAACCGAAGATAAACACTATGCGACTACACACTCCTCTTTAATCGGTCACAAGACATAAAGAAGTCCACTTTCCCACACACTGCCGAGAGTACCTGAAAAGAAGGGGAACCCGAAAAAGAGGGGATGGTTGGTGCCTATAGGAGGTGTGGCACTGGGCAAAATCGGTCAGAGCTGCAAATGGGAGCCTCAGAATTCCACTTTCCACTTGCAGAGAGCACCACTGCTCGCGCCAATATCTGTCCTCGAGCTCCCCTGCAACGTGCACCAATCTGCTTCTGGGGATTCGCAATTGCCGCCCTTATGCAACCCGCACGACAATCGACCGATTTGTCGGTGTTTCAGAAATTTCCATAAACCGGTTTATTGATTTGAAAAAATAATGATTAGCAAAAATTAAAAGTATACTAATTTTTCAATAAATTCAAAGAATTATTGAAAATAATTGCCCAAATTGAATTCTGATTTTTTAATATTTGTTGATTTTTTATTTCAATTTTATGTAAAATAAACAACTAATTCAACCGGTTTCAAATTATCCTCTGGAATATTCTAAAACCGAATAATGGACCAATCAAGTCTCTCTCTCACCCTGTAGCAGGCTTGGCAACATTGCAGGTTTAAAAAAGAGACAACAACCTACGCCGCAGCAGAACGCCAGCAACACAGCCTGTGTGTAAAAAGACCGACGTGTTCGATCTGTTCTGTCTTGTGCTTATCAGAGTTTTCCGATACGGAGGTACGCTAGATAAATAATATTTTTGTCAATTCAAACAATAACTGAGGCATCTTCTCAATTCAGATTTAACTGTCGTTCGTAGCAAATGTCGTCGCCGTCGAAGGATTCCGACCTAAAAGGTGGACATCCACCTGCAGGTATGTGTGAATGTTTTGCTTGGTAACACGTCGCTCAATCGTGCATTGCACATAACAATCTCAAGGCTGATCACTGACGATCGACGTGGACTGCATGCGATGGAATTTAACGCTAACATAATCGAATTTTTTCAGTCAAAGTGGGTGGAATGCGAATTACGCAGCACAGACCCCCCAAGGACGCAGCCGAGGGTGCAGCCAAAGAGAAGGATGAAGTCATCGACGACACCACCAATGCTCTTAAAATTTCCACGAGGTACAAAGTCCACCCCAATTGGCCAGCGTGCATGTTTTTTAAGCATTTGATTTCAAACACAATTCCGCAGAAAACCATAAAAAATATTTTAATTTTACCTGAATTTTCCAGAAGATTTACTGGTTCCAAGAACTTTTTCATGTTGAAATCGTGCAACAATACCTCAATTTTAAAGCAATCTTCATAAATTTTTCAGATTGCTCATTATTGAAATTTAACAATGGAAATATTCTTTTGCAGCCCTCCCAAAACAGTGAGTGTGTCTGGAGCGCCTGTGCGAGGCAATGCTGACTTCCCTACCGAGGCAGTGCAATCCTTCCATGACAAACCACAGCCCACCCATGATGCTCGTCCTGCTGCTAGGCCCAACATCATCCACCAGCCAAGGAAGTAGACTAATTGTTGTATTGAATGCTCTATTTTTCGTTGACTCAAATTAATCATGATGTGGACTCGAAGTCTGATCAAACACTGTCTATCAAATTCAAGGGTTTTGGCTGTTGATGAATGAAAATTTTGTCTGTAAAATCTATAGAAGAAAATTTGTAAAGAAATTGAAATTAGCCAACGGGTCAATGTTTTAAAGAAGGAAAAAAGCAGTGCAAATCAATAATTCTGCCCTGATTTTCAGCAATTTTTCTAACATATAATTTGGTACTTACTGAGCCAATCAGGAACTTAATTGGGTTTATTTTTGTTTATTACTTAAAAGTCTAATTCTGCAATTCCATTTATATGTATATTGAATTCAATTTTCTTGCATTTTGAAGTCGATCCATTCCTATCCATTCAATTAAGACTGCTTCTCAAAAGTTTATGAAGATTAAATAATAAACTGCTGTGAGTGGAAATATGTGACCTTATTATTTCAGAACTCCAAATGAATACTTAACTCTGCGGACATCTTCCTTGTCAAGGGTAATGCTATCTAACAGAGTCTTGAAAAAATCTATTTCTTTGGTACTCATAAACATCAAGTTTAACTGAAATCTGTAATTTTAATATTTAATATTTAAATTTGTTCAGAATAATTTAATTTAAACCTGTTAGATTTTGTCAGTATTTTCAGTAAACTCAGCAGCCATTCTTCTTCCTTTGGATCATACCGCAAAATTCTAGTCAAATCTCCAAGCATACCAACAGGAACTTCTCTCTGCATAAAATAATCCAAATCTTCTAACGACAGTTTTCTTATTAGATCGTATTTTTTCTCGTCATCCAACTTGATCCAGTAAGTAGAAAATTCAGCTGCCGTTGAAACCTATTAAATAATGAGCTTGCTGAAGTTTCAATAAATTAAAATTATTGTTGCGACCTGCACCTTGTTGATCTTAACCTCTGACTCCTCATCAAAGTTGCTGATACTACTTGCAACTTCTGCTCTGAAATTTGTCCTTCCAACTTTATGCTGCAACTCGGCCAACTCTTTTTTTGTGAGAGGTTTCAAATGTGCTGCCTTTACAATGTCACTAGAAGAAAATTAATTAACTGTAGCAAAATCCCTATTATCTTTAGATGCTGTTTAATTAAAAAACCTGAATTCTTCATAGCTCTTTGCCGACGTTATAGCCCTCAGTTTGGCATCATTCTCCAACCAGTATTTTTCGTGCGCTTTGATTTTCTGCTCCCAATTTTGTTGTAGGTTCTTGAGTTCAGTTTCATTAATAATAATTTCTGCCATGGCTCGAGAGCGGTTTTCACATTATTTTGAAGCCATATTTTAAAAAGGCAGTAAGGTACTCGGTAAACTGAAAATAAGCGGTTGCCATGGTAACAATCAAAAAGTAATTATGTATTGTGGTTCATGATATTATATGGTTGGGAAAACTGCGTCACACTTTTGCAGATCTTGTTTTTTTTCCATATCTACGACTTGTAATGAGGTTTCTCGATTTTTTAAATAAAGGAAATATTAATTAATTAAATATCTTTAGTTCGATTTAAGCTATAAATAAACGACATGAAGCAAGTTGCCATTTACAGCATGAAGAATTAATTTAATTACACGGCGGCATGGGCGTGAGGGGAAACGAAACTTGCGCGCCAAGTGGTGTTTTTTAGCTTTGCCAACCTAACAATATTCCAATTTTGGGAATCAACAGCATCTCTGTAGACTTTGAAGCAACATTCCTTAAAAATGAACAGTAATTATAATTTTTATAAAAATTTTGTATGTGAAAAAAATGAAAAATATCTAATGGCGTTCAAATGATTTTATAGTTTGCCCTTCAATGTAAGATTTTTAAGATTTATCATGTTGGCTGCACTGCTGACAAAAATGTCGGACACCAATAAAAACGAAAATGAAAATCCTCCCGAAAATGAGGAAACTGTGAAGCCTTCAGAGGAACTGGACACCCCAAAGGCACCCGAAATGGTAAATGAATATTTAATTTTAGACTTGACATAATCAAGGGCCGTTTAAAAGGTGTTCTTCAATATTTTCGGTGAGACATTCCATTGGGTGTTCCTTTCACGTCATAACTTGTATGGTCAATGTCCTTTTTTTGCGGATATCCAGCACTTTCTTATTTGCTCTCGTTGACACAATTTTGAAATATGGAATTAGGTTCGTCTCATATGTTTTTCAATACTTGCCAAAATTTAAGGGGGAATTATATTTTTTAGCGCATGGGTGTGTATATTACGCGCATGCCTGTGCAAATGCCGGGTCACATGTACATAATAATTTGTATAATGTAATTAATGCATACGTTCATTGCCCTATTGTGTTAGCCTTTTTAATTCACGTTCAATCAGATAAAGTTACACTTATATGTTAGTATGATAAAAGTAACGGCACAGACTGATCTATAGCGGTTTCAATTCTAGGACCATGACACTTCTGCCACAACCACAAAAACCGAGTCGGATTACGAAAGCGCCGATTCTGAGGAAGAAACTGAAGACCGGCTGCGCAAAAGAGACAATGAGGATGGTACCGAGGAGGAAGGAGACGAAGAAGAAGGCACTGCCGACGAGGAGGAACTCTATGGAGACAAACGAGAGGAAGGCGACGGAGAGGAAGAAAGTGGGTCTGCAAAAGAGAAAAAGTTGGATGACGATGAGGATCGGAGGAATCCGCAGTACATTCCTAAAAAGGGCACCTTTTATGAGCATGATGACAGAGGGGCAGACGAGCCTGATGAAGAGTACACAATTTATTCTCATAAATGAACCCTTTTTTTCTTAATAATTTTTTTAGAGCTGAATCAAAGGAGGAGAAACCCAAAAAGGCGTGGAAGGAGAGCGCTGACAGATGGTCTCATGACAAATTTAACGAGGCTGACCAAGCACCCAAATCTAGGGACGAGCTAGTAACTTCGTACGGATATGACATTAGAAGTGAAGAAGGCCCTCCAAGAGCAAGAAGGAGAAGACGTTACGGGTAAGTTGATAAACAATGCAAATAAGTTTTTCATGAAAAATATAAAATGCGTAGACGAGGGCCAAACAAGTATGATCGTAATTGGGAGGATGAGAATGCCTATTCAAAACCCAGCCGTGGGGGAGCAGTTGTTGGCCGAGGTGGCGGCCCCCGGAGGCAATCTGATGGAGGCAGGTTGAGTGAGAGGTCTGAGGGAACAGAGGAAATTCAAGTAGATAGTGAGAAGCAGTTCCCTTCCCTGCCACCCAAAAGAAACAGCGACGGTCCTCGTGGCAGGAAAGGTGCTCCAGGAAAGGAAAGGGAAGTTGTGTTGGAAGAAGAGTCACCTCCGAAACCAACCAATCAGCCAACAAAGAGTGGACGCGGCCGTGGTGTTGGCCCGTCAGGAAGGATAATCCGAGGATCAGGAAGGATTATTGAAGGTCGAGGTAGGGGTGGACGAGGAGGTGGTCGACCCAGAGATTTTGCCGACGAAGGAGATAAGACAACCCACTTAGAAAACAACATCAAAAATCTTTCCCTCAAAGATTCTGGCTCAGAGCAATTTCCAAGTAGAGACTTTCGAAGGCAACAAAGTAACATTTTCTTTCCAGGAATTTTTTAGAATACTCAATTTTCTTTTTCTGTCAGAACCTAAAGGCGAACCTTTTAATCAAGCACCGCCTTCTGAGAGACGCCAAGCCAATGTTCCTCCTAGGATGCAGCAAGAAGGTTCCGGGAACAGACCGAAGAGGTATTCCTCACAGAGACAACGATCTCTTCCAGAAAGCAGTGCCTCTTATGATCAACCACCTCCTGCTTCTGGTCCATATTACGAACAAGGTTTGCTATTGATATCTTCATATTTAAAGTATTTTAATACTAAATCTCTCAGGATTCCAACAACATCAATTATATCCTGAAGCTGCAGTTGGTCAGCCTCAGCCTGTGGCAGCCCCTCTGCCAAACGCTGTTCCTGTGAGCTCGGCAACTCAAATTTTACCCCCTGGAACCAACTTCACTCCGAGCTATCCCTCACCTACTCAGGCTGCTGCATTCATAGCTCCTGCTCAGCCTCCTACAAGAATTTTCCCTGCTGGTCCTCAACCAACACCTCCGTTTATGGCGCCGCCAAATCCTAATATGTTGAATTACGTCCAACCTCCAGCCACTCAGTTTCCTGCTGCTTTTCCTCCATTCCCAAGTTTCCCAGCTGTGGTGGGTTTTCTTAAATTTGTAAGTGTTTTTAATAAAATCTGAATTTACAGCCTCCTGCAACTCCTCCTCAACCTCCAGCAGAAATGTATGTGCCTACTGGAATCACATATTACAGCACTCAGAATCAGGTTCCCCGTCCAACACCGTTGAAGCGGCCTAAAGCAGCAATACCTATAGTTCCACCACCGTCTGTGGACGATAAACAGCAGGATAACCAAGAAGAAGATCAGGTAGAAGGCTCTGAAAAAGTGAATGAAAAGGAGGAGAATGATGGAACGACTGAAATCGTCCAAAAGGTCGAAGAAGTAAAGCAGGAAGTTCATCCCACGGAAATTTCAGCTTAGGATTATTATACTATAATTTAAACAATTTATCCAATGTACTGCTAATCCTAGTAATTAAACAATTTATTAAATTTTGTAATTCTTTCTATAGAACACAAGGTGGGTTTGATGTTATTATTTTTCTATCTCAAGCAGGTGGTATTTTCATTTTTATTCTTGGACAAGGAGTTTTGCAGTTGTGGGCCGGGCCTCCAGCTCAAATTTATTAATCCTCATACCTACGAACTTATGAATCTTTTCCCCCCGACTTTTTACTTTCAAAACGTAGAAATAAATGAACAAATGCTTTTGAATTAAGGATAATTTGTGGCTTATTGGCTAATAAAAATATACCATTTTCACTCTACAGAAAACCATAAGTGTCAAATTTGACATTTAAATATTAATTGTTGATGCCGTTTTGAATTCAAGTATGTGTCTATTGTCGCATGTACAATTCAGTATCGATATATTTGCAATAATTTTTTTTACCCTGTGACTGTAACACAAGTAGCTGTTGTGTAATTACTTAAGGTAACTTATATTTTTCATTTGCTTGCAGGGTGGAAAACTGCATTATTTATTTATCATTTATTAAACTGTAACAGTTACTAGGCTACTCATGATTTGACTATCCGGATTATCAAAAATTAAATTTTACAAAAAGATGCAATACAGAAATTTTATTTCAATATTTTTACCCGAAATTATGAGTGGATAATTGAATAATAGCAAATTCATGGAAGAATTATTATCTGTTTATTGTGTGATTAAAATAAGTCAATTTGCTTGCAAATACACTTTGGTAAGATTAAAAGATAACATTAATCAGATCATTTAAGCTGTGATTACGAAAGCTTTGAATATATTGGCGGTGAGAATTTACGTCGGAGGAATTTCAAAATATAAAGTGGCAGGCAGGTGACAAGAGTGATGACAGTCACTTTCCACAAGAATTGGGGAGTTTGAATGAATTCGGAGTCTGAAAATGAAGATCGTTAAATGACAATAAAAAATCTTTATGTAAAAAAAAATGTCTTACCAAAATATCCCCTCAGTAATATTAGTGACAGGATATAAATGGCCAAACTCACAAGTTCAGCCAACACCATCAGATAGTGCCATGTGCGGACAGTGAGGGCAACCATGGTGAGCTCTGTCAATACCAAAGCAGTGAAACTAATTGCTACGATGTGGATGTAGTCATCTTCAAAGAGAATGAATGCCCCGTACATAATAATTCCACCTAACACAAATATTTAAGCACATCTCAACTTTTCAACAGTATTTATAAGAAGTACCTTGGAATATACTGATTAAGACCCAGCTAAAGAATGTTTTGAAGGAGAGGGACCTGCCTTTGCTTAACTCTTTATACAGCTCAGGGTACGTCAGAGCAATTTTTGAGGAAACATCTTTGTCAAGAACAAGCGAAAACACGGGGAACATTGTGTACACAGTTGCATATCTAAAAAAAAAGGTATTGAATTTAAGTCTTGCTCCTTGTTTATATTTATATTACTAGTAAAATTACATACCCGACCATAAGGAATCCTTGGTACAGTGCTACAGAGGAGAAGTAGAAGACAGAACTGAAAACAGCTTGCATTGTGGAGATGATGAGGCCTCGGTGAATGACAAACTGGCTTAGTGCAGCTGATCGTTTGTAACTGCGTCTTCCGTGCACCAACAATAACCTTTGTAAATACGAAAATTGTGGAATAGAAAAGTCGGCAGCCAGCGAGGCTTGTCTTCCTTCGCGCCCTTCGATTCCAACTCCAGCGTCAGCAGCTTGAATCATACTGACGTCATTGCCACCATCGCCGACAGCAAGTGTTCGCTTTCCAGTGTGCTCTTGAATCAAATTGACAACTTGCGCTTTTTGGGTTGGTGAGCAACGGCAGCAGATCACAGCAGGAGAACTACAAGCCACTTCCATGAACTCATGCTGGTAATATTGCAGACAGACCTATTGAAAATAGCATCAGTAATCCAGATAGAAATGAGGCTTCGAATAATTATCTTACTTCCAAGGAATCACCGGAGATGACAAGTGCACTGTCTTGTTTCTTTCTAAATGCATTTAGCTCCAAATGAGCTTCTGTTCTGTTGGTTACATTTCTGAATACATGAAGACCTTGAGTTCGAGAAACCAATCTCGAACTTTTGGCAATGCAAGTTGCCGTCTCGAGCTTATCTCCAGTCAACATCCAAATCTGTTTAAAACAAAATTTTTAAACTAAGGCTTTATTTGAAGCTCAATGTCTTACCTTGATCCCTGCATTTCTGAGCAATTCCAGAGTTGGTCTCACTGCATCCTGCAATCTGTCCTCCACACCAGTGACACACAGAAGCTCCATCTCCCTTTCTATTGTTTCAACAACAGCAGCAACTCGAACCACTCTTTCTGACACACTCATCCTAGCGGCATTGTAACGAGCCTTTAAATTTGTTTTTTAATAATCACAAACATTATTTGTACTAAAAACTAACTTCAAAATCAAAATACTGCTCCTCCGACAGTGATTTCTTTGCCACAACTAAAGTCCGCAAACCCTCTCGAGCCATGTTTCCACACTCTTCTTCAAGCCAGTCGTTGTACTGAACAATACCAGACATGACCATGTCAGCACCTTTGAGATAAAAAGTAATCTCCCCTGTAGACTCCTCCTATATAATTTTTTTGAGATATTGTATAAGGACTAAATTGACAAAGTATACCTTCACAATTACGCCCATCCTCTTGGTCTCCGAAGTGAACGGAAAGATTTGCAAAATGGTATAATTGAGGACAGAGCCGTTGGGAGTTCTCAGTTGCATTGTAGTAAGATCTCTGTGGATCAAGGCCAGACCCGACTCTTCAGTCCATTTCACAAGTGCCACCTATATATAAGGATCCAGCTATTATTTAAAATAAGCACAAATTTTAAAATACTAACCTCATCTGGGCTCGATGCCTGATAAATGACTTCTTGGCTGGAATGTTGGTCAGCCTCAGCTTCATCACTGCCGTTTTCGGACCTGTCGCTGGTCTCATAGGTGGGAGTAACGTTGTGACACAACGCAAGTGCCTTCACAGCTTCCAAGACCCTGCTCAATTCAGACCTTCGCATCTTGCCAGAACTCACACCCCTCATTTCACTCTGCTGTTGCTTGGCAAAGGCTTTCCGTAAATGCAAAACAATCTGTGAAAGTGATGTTTAAGTATAATCGATTACTCTGCTAGTTCTCCTTGCCTCCTCAAACGTTTCTGTGCCATAAGACACTGTTCCTAAATGCAGCTTTTTGAAGATCATCTCGTTCTGAGTCAAAGTGCCCGTTTTGTCTGATAGCAAGTACGAAACTCTGCCAAGCTCTTCGGGAATGGTGGTGGAACGAACCACAGTTCCCGGAATTGCTGGGTCTCTCTGCATTGCCCAAGAGTAAAAGGCTTTTCCCATATCAAGATTCACTCTCAAACTAGAAGAAATACACAAAATGTATTTACAAATTTAGATGTAGTATTATAATTACCTGATTGGAATGATGTAAGAGAAAAGCAGAACAAATCTGAAAGTGTACCTATACCAAGGCCCATTGAAACCTTTCAGACACATCATGACTAGAGCCAGGGTGATCACAGCGCAAAACAAAACCTATATTTTAGGATTTCAGGAGATTTATTACCAATGAAAAAACCTCGAACCTTGGTGATTTGATTAACTTCCATATCTAACTGTCCAACTTTGGACCTTGGGGATGAATTGTTCATTACGCTCCTTGTTTCAGAACCAGTGTAGATGACAAGTCCCAGAGCAGTGCCCGAGGCAACAACACAGTTTGCCCATAGAGTATTTTCAACATCCAATGATTCTTCAGATGGCACGCCATCATGCTAATAAAATACAGAAAAATTTTTAAATGAAAATAAATAAGTGTAAATTGCAATTTATAAATGAAAAAAGTGTCAAAATAAATTTCTTGCGTCTTACTCTTGTGTAAGTGCCTATAAAGCTGTGAATGTCCTTCTGAGGCTTCTCAGCATACAGGGTGGCATGGATATCAAACAAGTCCTTGTCGTGGGCAAGTTTCTGTGTGCCTGGGACTGCCAGTCGAAGCTTCCAGTCAGTTTCTCCATCTAGCTGGTCTGTGCGGACAAAACAGGCGCCGGACCGTTCAGTTGTTCTCATCAACACCATATCGGCGGGCACTCTTTGGTTTTTCTCCACTATTATTAGATCTCCGACTTTGATTTTAGAGGATGGAATCGACTCTTTGGAGCCATCGCTCAGCAGTCTGATGTACCGCTGGCAGTTGACCTCTTTGTCTCGCTGGTGCCTTCTAATGTCATCCACTGCCTCTCGACAGATGGTCACAGTGAGGACAAAAGTCTGCAAAAAAATGTGTAAGAAATTTTAATATTTTTATTAACTTCTTGTTATTATTGTTTTCAGTTTTATACTTACAAGAGGTCCCCAATATGTGTAAAGATAGCCAATTCTGATATCAGGAATGAACTGGCTTGTTGCCATTACAAGGAAGTACAAATTCAGGAAGAATTTAAATTGTTGAAACAATACCTAAAATTAATTAAGCATTAGTACAATAAATATAATATTTTATGTGCAAGGCTTTACCAATGGTAAGAAGGTTATCACATTGTACTTTTGGTTTCTGATGACATTGGCAGGGTATTTTTCCGCTGCCAATCTGCCAATGGTAATGATCCGTGACTTCAATTCCTTTTGACGCCAGCATCGGCTCCACAGCCACTGGCAACACCTGCAATAGATAAAAGCAAAATAATTATGAGAAAAAATTGTATGCAAATTGGGAAAGATGAGATTTTTTTGTGGTATAAAACTAATTCCAGCGTACATTTTTCCTGCTTCTATTTGCGACGGAGGTACTGTTGCTGAGGCAGCGCCCCCGTTATATGCATCGCAAACTTTTAAAATGTCACGCCATTCAAGAGCCAAATTACACCGCTCGTGGTTAGCAAAACACGGACTGGGTTATTTTTAACCCGCCTGCTGCCCTTATACCTTGAGCACATATCGTTCCTCTGCTTGTTTATCAGTGGAGTGTCTTCAGCCTGCATGATGTGCGGAGCGTCTGACGCCACCGAAGACAATGTCTGAATCGACTCGGTTCGCGTTTCGACAAAACTCATCTCGATCGCGGAAGGCGAATAATTTTCTTGGCGTGGGAAAACAATTTTCGTATCGTTGGGGGTGCCTTCAAAAGGTTAATTAATTGCGAACCATTGTTCAAAAAAATTTCACTCCGTTCTCCTTTTTGGTCAGCTGAACTGAATAACAGGACTACACCGGAGAAAGGTCATTCGCAGGGGTACCAACTTCTGAGAATTTAACACTGATAAATTTTAACACCAACCATAAAATAAAGTGCAATACAATAGTTCAAACAAAAGGGTAAAATTCTTTAAACCCATTGTTTTTTTACTTATTTTATCAAATTCTTTCCCACTCTATAAGTTCTAAAATATTTTATAGTTTGTTCTTTATCTAAATAGATAATTAATTTTAAAATTGCGAAAGTTCCAAACTGTGCCTCTTGAATACATAATTGTTTTTTGCATGATACGATCATATTAAATTAATATTTTTGTTTTTTTGAAACTCACCCGAACCGAAATACTTGACAGGAACAGAATTTCCCACAAGATGAGTTTTTACGTTGCTCTGAAATAAAAATCTGAGACTCCGAATTGAAAATACGATAATCAGCCATTTCCATGCTAAGAGAAGTATACTGGCGTCTGTTGCGCCTTGCCTCAACTGATCGATGAGGAAACCAGCCAAACCGCTTATCTTATCTAGTTTTGATCCATGAGTCAATTATAAAAACGAAGCCCCAGACATTTTCATTATACTACACAGCTCATGTTACATACTCATTAATATTTGTGAAAAAAGGCAAATTAATTATAAAAAATATAAAATTTTTATAAGGAAAAAAAATTGGAATAACTATTAAATTGTGCAATTTTCAATTTCACAATAAACTTAATTTTTCTCAGTTGGCTTCTTTTTTTTAAATACACTACTGATTTTTAAATGAAAATATCGAATAGAAAATAATTAAACTGACCCGCAAAGGAAACACTGAAGAATCTTCAGAAAGGAACTACTTGATCGACTTCTTCTACTTCTCCGAAACGTTGCCACCGAGGGGCCGTTAATCTCAAAATTTTGTTCGTTTGGGTGTAAAAGGTATTCAGTCTCATCGCTGTCGATTTCGTGATCGCTGCCAGTAAGTTCAAGAGGCACACCTCTTCCAAGAAGCTCTCGTGCCGCCGCACAGGTCTATAACCCTGAGGAAATTAAATTTCAATTAATTCATAGCTTCAGATTACATCCCTATTTGTTTAGTGTTGAATTTAAAACATTTAAAAAACTGTGAACTAATTTTATGTTGTGTGCATATTAAATGTAGAAATTTGAAAACAATGATGACAAAAAAAATCATTAAATGTTATCATTATCATTCGTCATTATTGGTTCTCATTCACACAAAATTTATGAAAGAAATTTTAGAAACTTTCAAACGTTTATACAAATTACATAACATTTTTTGAATTTCTGATTTTTTTCTTTTTGTAAATTTGTTGATGTATAAACTAGTGGCGGAATCAGACGTCTAACCTGCTTTAATACATAATTTATAATGACACTTTTCAAACCTGTTTCAAACTATGTTCATGGTTATCTAAAAAGATAGTGCGATGATAATGTCGCATGATGTTTATAGCAATATTTTATATTATTTGAAGAATTATTAGGCATATACATAATTATATATTTTAAATTGTTTTAATCGCTCATTCTTAGAAGAATTAATTTATTTCTTAAATTAATATGAACACAAAAATTTACCTTGTATACATACACAAACCTTTCACATAAACTTGATGATATAATGTAAAATAAATTAATAAAAAATTTCAGAGGTTACAACAATGTAAACCAGAAATTCCACGCTTAAGTTAATACATAATTGGGAAAACCGACACTGGCGTGTCATGCCGCAAATTGACAAAAATAAATCCTCTCCGAAATACTCACACCACCGCGATTCATGACTCGGTTTACTCGCGTTGCGCGGCTCTTGCGTTTATCAAGATCTGTTTCAGCTGTCAAAAGGTCACTCAACGGTAGGGGCGCGCACCCCTGCGTACGTGTGCACGTCCTTAATTAAATGTGACATTCCACAAGTCCTCCGTCCTTTTGTTTACATCAGTCGGCAGTTTGAAATCGAAAAGAAAAGGACACTTTTTCAGGTTGGCGATTCGGAGAAGAGCGCCTCTGGTGGCGAAACAGCCGAACCAATCACTGGCTCGTACGGCAGAACCATCTGGTGGCAGGCTAGGCAGGTCTCAACAGGACGAGACACGACGAAACTGAAAAGTGACTGGTTTCAGCTGCTCTGCAGCGTTGTCGAAAAAGAAGTGCCAAGTGTTTGTTTATCTTCGTGCGTGCAGTTGTGCGAAGGACGTAAAAGGAAATTTCCACTTTTTCGCAGGCGACTCGTGTCAGGAATCTCTTCAGGTGAGTCTTGATCTTTTCGCACTCGCCGCCTTCCTCATCTCGTTTTCTCGCCTCCGCGCTCTGCCTCGAAGCCAATCGATTTTCGCGTTCGCAGCAGCAAAGCACGGCGTTGTTATTTTGACAAGTCGCACGCACATATGAGTCAGGTGTGTCCGCGAGTTTGCCAATTTCGCGGTTTCACTTTCGCCGGCCTTGCGAGCAAAGACGTCTGGGGCCGCGGACGAACACCTTTCAGGAATGAGAATGATGTCATCCTCAGAAGGAAAAAAAGAAAGAAAATTTGCATTTTTTTTTGCTTAAATGGAAACTTTTGAATGAATTTTCCGCTTAAAATTTGGCCTCATTTGGCCTTCTTATAATTAATAAATCTGCAATTTTTAAATTAAAATTGTTATGAGGACAAACAATAAATTTATGTACAGTGTTTTATTGTTATAGTAAAATGGGGGAAAGAATTGATTAAAAAATTTGGATTCTCTATTTCTCATTAACATATCCTATGTAACCTATTTATTAAAATTAATTTGATAGTTTTTCATACATTTTTTTAAAGCTTTCAATACAAGAGAATAATAACTAAAAAAAAAAAATGTAAAAGAAATTTCTCAAAGTAATTATAAAATAAATCAGCTATCTTGGATGACAAAATTAAGCTACTCTACTCCCATGATTTTATGACTAAATTTTCTTTATTAAATTGTGCAAACTCTTAAATAAAAATATTATTATGTAGCATCCTAATTTTTTTGCTAAATTTTTTTCAGATTAAACTTTTAATTTCAAGTGAAATTATCAATAATTTATATTCTTGCGTTGATGAAGTTGTAGCCTTAAAATAATTGGAAATCTGCCTAATTTTACGGAATAATAATTCATTAAATTTATTTAAAAACTATTGTCAAACCAAACAGAATAGGATTTTGGTTGATACCAAAACAGAAAAAAAATATGAATTTTAAATTAAATTTTTTAGTATAAATTAGACATGCATGGATTAAAGATTAAAGAACTTTGTTGTTCTGAAATTGAAATTCTGATGTAAAATATGAAAAGTTTTTTTTTATTTGAACTGTCATGACCTGCCATAAATTGTCACTGTGAGCATCTCCGTGCGAGCTTATAATTTCAATTCGCGGAATGCAATTATTTCAGGCAGTTGACAAAATTCTAGATGCAATTTGGGAGTTATTGCACTCGTGAATTATTGATGGAAATGATTTTGAGTGTCAAAACAATGGAGAAGCGATACGCCCTCGTGAGCTGCATGATTCATGAGTCCCTATATCGCGTCTCGAAGACGCCAAATTGAATTGTTTTCCTTTCAGCACCTCCCTAGGCCAAATCGTGTTGGGAGGGCCTGTTCTCTGCACGCGTACAAAATAAACAGAGCACACGCCCCAGTTGTCGAATCAGGCGCATTTACGCCTCCGAGTGAGTGTCTCGAAGGGAGGAGAAAAAATAGAGTGGAGGACACTGATTTTGGCCAAATCAGATTCAAAACATAAGCGAAGGAAGATTTTATAATAATTTATTTTATTTATAGTCATTTCATTATAATAATTTGAAAAGTTTGGAAAAAATTAATGAAGAATGTTAAAAAAAAAATGTAAATTATTGATTACTAATTTTAAGGTATTTCAAAATTATTTTTTATCTTTTCTCCTACTAAATTGTCTTAAAAAATTTTTTCACTTTTTTTGCAATTTTTTTATATCTTTAATTATTTTATTTCTCTTTCCTTCCCCTTTTTTTCACTTTCACTTTTTTCTCCCTCCTGCTTCAAGAGTGAACGTTTGCAGGGGTCGCATGCAAATTTCACGTGTCATGCTCTTGAGTTGCTGCGTCGGATTGGCATTTGAATATTTAATTGGCGTGGTCTATGTGTGTCGCGCACCCCCGGTGCCTGAAACCTGATACGAGGTCTCTCTCGCGCTTTTGAAACTCGAAGACACGCGGCTGACAAAGTATTAAATAACGCAAGCGCCTGTAAACAGAGGTTACTCACAGTTGCGCTGCTTTGTTCAGATTGCCGACGTTTTTTAGATAACGAAAGAATATTTAGAAAATTTTGGCGAAAACAGAAATTTTCCAAGGAAAAGAATAATCAATTCTGGATGAAAAAATTACAATAGTAAAACTGTTATTGAATTATTGATTCATCAATTGATACCTCCAAGTGTTTCCAAACGATCCACTCGCTGACTCTATTATGTGGTCACATAATATGACGGGCCTATTTAATTTTGATATTTAGCCTTGAGACACCTTGGGATAGATAATCTGTCAAAACCAGATTTGACTGGTTGTTCTGAAGTTCCTAAACCTCTAACAATACTTTGTAGAAATTTGGCGGAAAATAATTGATCCAACATAAATGAATGTTTTTTCTATTAAAATTTGTAAAAAAAGATTATAATATTGACAGTTTTAAATTTTGGCTATAATTTCTATTCTATCATAGGCTAATTGTAAGATGCTTAGCCTTTATTAAAATTTCAATTATTTTAGGCTTATTATTCAAGTATTAATTAATATTTTCAAACAGGAAGCATATGTCATCCGACTAAATATTTATTTAATTTTGTGGCGAAATTTGGCTTACTTTAAACATATTTGATCACCTTTGAAGTTTGGGATTATTCATTATAAAATCTTGGGATCAAGTTAAAAATATCTTAAATAGATTTATTTTGTGCTTACAAATTCCTAATGAAAGAAAACTAATCTTTTATTAAGAGAAAAAAATCTAATTCTTGTTAATTAAAAAATCAATTATTTCAATAATAATGGGATAAAGATTTATGAAGTGATTTTTTTCTGCATCTCGTTTCTGGTTTATAAGTTTTGTATTTTGCGTTCCATTTGTTTTATCAATCCTTTCTCAAATTAGCCATCACTCCTTTGATTTTCGTTTTTGGGTCGGAATTTTCTTCGTTATTATTTTCACAAGCCCCGGATGAGAATTAGCTTTCTCCATTTCCCGCATGCTTCCTTTGAAAATGATCACAGTTGGACTGAAAAACCTGTTTATCAGCAAATATTTGTTTGCGCTCGCGAGACATAATCGATACTCTGGTCGCGGATTTGGCTTCCGAAATAATAGAGCGGCGCAAACCGTGCAAACTTTTCCGCCCCGCTTCTCATTTTGAGATTTTACCCGCTGCACGTTATTATTTGTGTTTTCGCGCTCGCAATCTATGTCTATTTTCACAGCGTGGTGATGGTTTGTTATTTTGTTTGTGTGTTCCCCGGCGGGGGCTCTCGATGAGGCGCCACTCCGGCGCTAATAATATTTTGCTGTGACGTGTCTGTCTTCTTTACTCACCGGGACAGCCGCACCTAACGAGTCGCACCCGGTGGCCGCCGATTTTGTTTTTCGTCTAGACGTTGTCTGATTGCAAATTGGTGCGTCGAGCGCGAACAACTTTTTGGACGACCCAATGTACTCTGTGTTGCCTTTCAAGTTTAATTTTCCTCAACGTTAATTTGATCAGACAACCTTCCAAAGCGTTATGCAACCATTTTTATTTTTAATTCAAGATCTTCTCTTCAAATTTTAACTCAATTTTCTTCTTATTCAAGTTATCAGTTTTTTACATAATTTTAAAAATTGAAAACCTATTCAGAAGAAAATTTTGTAAATTTAATAACGACTCCTTGTCAGTGATTAAAGGTTATAATTTGTATTTAAAAGAAATTGAATTAAATTCACGAGTTCCAAGCAGTGTCCAAGAATCAACAATAATTTGGCAGAAAAATATGCACAAAATGTTAGTGAAGGTCAACCTGAGACTCTCAGCCTCAAGTGTCTGTAATGAAATTATGTAGGTGTTTTCACAAGTAAGAATTGCTGAAAATAAAAATTTATTCCTGTTTTCGGAGAATAAATACAATAGATTAAAATTGTGACAATTGGCGATTAAAATAGTTTTTCTTGCTCAATTTAAGAATTGCTTGTTAAGTTTCGTTCTGAAAGTTTTTAAAGCAAACAATGAATTTTGCTTAGCATTGACTATTCCTAAATTTGGATTCTAATTAATGCATTTATAACCAACACGACATTCCAAAAACTGACAATAATATTAGTGGCCACTCCCTCAGGTGCAAACGTTGCTGTTTCCAGCAGTCGGCGAAAAATGAAATATTTCCGCTCATTTTGTTAATACGTCACAATATTTCATTCAAATCAAAATGCAATGAGAGGGCCGCAGACACGCGAGCTTTTAATTAATTGCTCATTAATTCGGTCTGCGTGTTTGATTTTGCAAGCATCCTGCCCAAACTCGGACATTTTTGCAGTTTGTTGTGCCACGGCCGTCAACAATCCACCGGCGATAAACATAAATAAATACGACGGCGCTCACTCGCTCTTGATCGTTCTAATGTGTACTGCGTGTGTCTGCTATAGTGAAGTGCATTTTCTGTTTGCTCGGAGCAAATCTCTGACTGTGGATGAAACTTTGAAAAGCGGCTGAGAGGGCCTGAAACGGTAAATAGATATCATCCAGCCCGACTTTTATTCTGACAGGGCGGACAAACTTTTCATTCAAGCGTCGGAAAGATAAAAAGTTGCTCCATGCGGGAAAAAGGGAAAAAATGAACTCTGAGGGATGTTTAAGAGCAGAAACAAGGATCTGAATTTAACACTTTTAAGTTATAATTTTTTTGTAAGTAAAAAACAAAATGTTTATCTAAAAATGAATCACATGTTTATAACTTTTAAATGATTACACTATTAATATTTTGTCACTTGCCTCTCTTGATAAATTTTTATATTAGTTTCACAATTATATTAATAGATAATTGATATTATATCACACAGGCAATCACTGACCTTAACAAGATGCGTGGATCACGATTTAAAGTAAAGACAGTGTAAGTTACTGTAATTCAATTAACAATAAGAGAAGAAAGAAAAATTACCAGATATTAACAATTTAACAATAAAAATTTTGACAAATAAAAAATTGTGATTGGAATTAATTAGAATGAATAATGTA